GGGTGGTGGGGGGGGGGGCTAAGTTGTCCGACAGGGGGGACTTGAGCTCGTAGGCTCGAGCTGGAGGAAGGGGTTGAAATGGGGTACCCCTCCCAAATGAGATTTTTTTTTTAAGAATATCAACCTCTGGATGGCCGAAAATGGCACTCTCAGACTGTGACAGTCTGAGAGATGTGTTGGCTTGGTGTGGGACTATTTTTATATGTATGAAATTTTTCATTAGTTTTGATCCAACAAAATAAAAAACAATAGTACTCGCACTACGTTTCGCGAACGATCCGTTCGATTTTTAAATTTTAAATTTTATTTGGATCCAAATGAATTTATTTCAAAATATTTTTATATGTTTTATGGTCTGACTGCCCGACGAGCTCTGTCCGGCGGGGGGAGGGATTGACTTGTCCAGTGGGTGGGGGGAGCTAAGGCTCCCCTGCCACCCCACTGGCGCCGCCACTGGTCATGACCCAAAATTTCTGTGGGGACATGTCATCTTAACAGTCGTTAGTCAACTTTGGTGGGTCTCTTTATCAATGCGCCTAACTTTTGAATTCTAGACATTTTTTGATAAATACAAATTTTCACATGTGCACAATACGTGCGAGGGGTATTAAAATGCATTTTTATGAGCACCGTCTTTTGTATACCAACTCTTTTACTCCTGTAAAGTAAAGAATGCTATTAACGAATCACAGTGAACAGAACAAAAATGACGGAACTTTGCGATACAAATGTGGGTGTAATGCTAATTCATGAAGAAAACAAACAGTGCTTGGTGACACAGAGAGTCATTACCTCCCTTATTTGTAGGACAATCGTTTTATATTATTAGCACAGTTCTTTCACTAACATTTTATTACCATGTTAAAGTTTGTCATTGACGATAAAACCCAATAGACTTATTACAGAATAATCTAAATTTAGTTGTGTTTACCTCTATGATTTAACAATGGGCTTCTACCTTTGGTCAAATCATGCAATACGTCTATGATAAAGTTTTTACTTCCCCCAAGCTGCTATGTCAAATTTAGCTGAGCTAATAAGAATACTAATCTTTGGAGTTTTTTTTTTAGTGCTGTTTACTACAGGTAAATTTTAGATGCGAGTCTCTAAAACCTCTACGTACATCATAGGCGTAGATCCCGGGGGGATGGGGATATATCCCCCCCCCCCAGTATTTGGCAAGGGGGGTGGTCCATTGTATCATCCCCCCAATATTTTGACTATGTATAGGATAAAATGGAGCTTTACACACTTCAAAAGACTGTCACAGAAATAATTGCACTGTCTTATGCGCTAAGATGAAAATTAGCATAATGTATTAATGTTGATAACAAAATGATTTTATCTGGTACCAATCTAAGCTCTTCTTTCCTTAGATGTTAGATGTGCTTGCAAAGAGAGCCACATTTCCGCACAGGGGCACACATTGGCGCTAACACCAGGCGCTTAACAGGGGTCTTGGGTCAGAGTGTGTATTTATTTTCCCGGTTAGTAATTTACCATACCCAACCCACCCCCCTTTTAAAAAGCGATACGCCGACATAGGGCTTATCCTATTTATAATATAGGCCACATACGTGTGTTTGAAACTAAATATAAGCATTTTCATCATGGTTTTATTTATTACAAATATATTCTTTCACCATCAATACACATTGAGGCCCTTCTTTTAGGGTAAAACGATCTATCTTAAATTCGTCTTTCTGAAGTTTGTGACTATTATGTGTTTAAATAACTTAAAAGGATAAACCTAAAAAAGCCCTAAAAATGCGGGCGCGAAGCGCGCAAAATATTTTTGTGTTTTTAATTCTAATTTCGTCGGAATTGATGAAAACTCT